AATTTTGTATTTAAAGACTTCTTGTCTGCCTTGCCTCCCGATATCTAACATTATAACTCTTAAAATACTTTAAAAATGAGTCATCAAATATTTATTAAATTATCTGCAACAAAAACTTGAAAAAAGGTTATTAGCCTATGTAACATATGCAAAGATAAAAAAGAATCTTGTGATCTCCAAACAAAAGATGCTCATATTGCAAAATATGTAATTTGTAAAGAATTATTAAGTTCTTATGAATCTCATCATAATATTCCTTCTCCAACTGATCCTCAAATAGGACCAAGCAGTATATCTTCAATTAATATCTCTTTACTTACTTTACTTGATCTGAATTTCAAAAAATATTTCTTGTAACTAAAAACAAAAAAGAAAAGTGAAAGCTATAATTAGAGAACAACCTTATATTGATATAGTTTTTAAAACTTTAAATATCTCTGATAATAAAGAAGAAGTTGCAAAAATAGAGTCTAATAGTAATTATGAGAAAACTATAATAGACTATTCTGCTCCTAATATTGAAAATGAAGATAAAAAAGAATTTGAACATATTAATAATCTTGACAATAGCTTTGGTTAGATATTAATCTAGATTCTAAGATATCAACAAAGATATTAGTTATCTGATACTGCAACAAAATCATTAGTTAAATTAATTCATTATCTATTGACTATCTTGATCAGAATCAGTTTAAAAACTTTTTTAAGTCACTCTATTTGGTCAGAAAGTTAATAGGTTTAGATCTATGAATAAATAATTATGCAACTTGTCCAGCATGTGATAGGTTGTATAAACCTAGCAAGGTAACAACAAAAAAACTTGAACAAATCCCAATATGTTTATATTGTACTTTTATAGAATTTTTAATTACATAACGTCTAAAATAAGACAATTTTGTAATCAACAATTGGCAAAGAGGTACCTACAAAGGATTGAATAGTGTTTCATCCTTTGCTTATTTATCTAACAATAAACATTAAAGATCAGCTCAGGTTATTATATAGTCAAAACGGATTTGAAGAATCATATAGAAAATAGATTAATAGAAATATAAAAAATAATTACCTTGCTGATATTTATAATAGTAATATATAAAAGAATTTTAAAAATCAAGATGAAGATTTTTTCACAACAGAACATGCTGATACACATCTTGGTCTTATAATTAATCTAGACTAGTTTAGTTCTTTCAAAAATTCTGTATATTTTACTAATGCTATATATACAGTTATTTGTAATTTTTCCCGTGAACTCAGATTCAAGCCTCAAAATATAATTACTCTAGCATTGTAACTAAAATCCAAAAGTTAAATCACATCATATAAATCATTATCTTGCACCTTTGGTTGATCAATTGCTTGAATTGAGAAATGGGGCAGAAATTCTCACAAATAAATCTCCTAATGGCGAAAAAATTAAATATGCTATTATATGTTACTCATGTGATATTCTAGTGGCCAGAAAGTTATGTGAACAAATATCAGCAAGAATTGCATGTTTTCAATGTGAAAAACATGCATAGTCTGATGCTAGACATCAACCTAATTTTGGTAGATTTTTAGATATGAATGACTGGTTTGTAAAGTGTGATATTGAAAAAATTAAAGAAGATATATATAAATAGTTACAGTGCAAGACTGAGGATCAAAGAAAGAAACACCTTTCTGAAACCTGGGTAAGATTGTCAGAACTCTACTGTTTTTCTTATTTTAATCCAATTAAACATGTAATTGTAGACCCAATGCATTGTTTATTTTTGAAAATTGCAAAGTGGATTGTTATACAACTTTGAATAGAAGATGGAAAATTAAGTGCTAATGATCTGAAACTTATAGATAAAAGGGCAAAAAAATTACAATCTCCATCAGATATCAGAAAAATTCTTTATAAAATTGCTACAGTTGAAGGATTTTCTGGATATACCAAAGATCAATGGCAAACATTTATAATGATATATGCTATTATGATTATCTGGAATTTATTAACAAAACCAGATCAGCATATTCTTGCAAACTTTGTTATGGCATGTAATCTGTTAGTTTGTAGAATATCAGATAAAGAAATACTTAATAAAGCTTATCAAAGATTATTAAATGTAGCAAAGTTAATAAAACACCATTATGGGCCTAAAAAAATTACTCCTAATATCTATTTAAGTTTGCATTTATGCAAAAATTGTGTGGATTATAGTCTATTATATTCATTTTGGTGTTTTTTCTTTGAGTGTATAAATGGAATCCTAGGTAGATATCAGATAATTATTATATATACAGTCTAACCTCTCTATAATCACACCCTATATAGTCACAACTCTATATAAGCACCCAAAACTGTGCAACAGACTTAAATATAATAAAAAAACCTCATTATAGTCACAAATCGTCTATAATCACTATCACTATTTATTTTAATAAATATATCACTTTTATTAATAAATAAACCTCATTATAATCACTAATTTCTAACTATCTAATTACAAATAAATTAATCTAATTGGCTATATATTATATAGCACTACTCATGATTAGATATTTTCTGGTTTGAATCTAATTTTAAAAATGAGATGCTAAATGCTCAAATGACCTGAGCCACAAGAATGTTGTAAAGCTCTTAGGTGGCTGAAGGTTTAGAAATACAGTTCAATCCCGGTGATTGGTTACTCTCATCTTAGGATAAACATTAGATAGAAGTAATCAATTGATTTCTAACAATTAAAATTATTCCACATATTTCTGTATATCGATATCAATTAAAAATTATTACGCCTATTAGCTAAATAAATAAAAGACTTTTTATTAATAAATTAGCACAGATAATAAAAATTAATAAGAGATACATGCATATATACATTGTTTTCAGATCTTTAATTATAAAATTGGCTTTTCAAAACCTAAATATGCAAGCCGAGTTAAGCCAATAAACATCTTCGGCATTAAACATAGATGCTAATAGCTTATTTGCTATTTATAATTCCTGTAATTGGCTTTTTAAAACCTAAATATGTATACAAGTCAATAAACATCCTCAGTAATAAATATAAAAAAAAAGCCTCATTCGATGGGCTAAATATCTAAATTATAGAGATAATTTTATTGATAGTTTCATCTAGACCAAAATTTCACTAGTAATTTTTAGCGAGAGAAGTAGGGATTCACTATTATTATAAAGTTTCATCAATTCAGTTTTTTTTTTTTTTTAGTAGGAGCACCAAGGTGATTTTTTTTAGCACTAAGGTTTCATCATTTTGAATTTGGGTTTCATCTTTCGTTAGCAGAATTTGAAGTTTCGCCTTTTATTAGAGGTTTTATCATTTTGGGGCTTAGGTTTCATCTTTCATCACCAAGCAAAAAAAGGTTTCGTCTAACAACTATAGTTGTAGCTGATACATAGTCATAGTTTAAGTTGCAGTTTTGGTTGACTTGGCTCCATTGTGCAGCTAAAACCGGCTTAGCAACAAGCTGTTAACAACTCTGAAGACTATTTGAAGAGACAGTTAACATTAACAGTAAATCTATATTTAGTTAGTTCTATTCCAAAGAACAATAATAAAAAAAAGTTTGATTGTCATTCACTTTAATTGAGACAAAACCTATTAAAGCAATAAAAAATATAAGTTGAACTTTCATTATGGCTAAACAAATCTCATACAGTATAATCATTAATTTGAAATATGTATATTACTAATTTAATTCGAATTCAGAAACCTGAACCCTAATTCTAAATCACCTTTATTACTATGAAACAAAAACATATTGAACTGTCAGTCAGTTTTTGCCAGATTTTGCAAATTTTATTAAAATAGCTATAACATTAGTAATCGCTCTTCCAACTGGTGGTCACACTAGTAAAGTTATATTTATCAACTTATTAATTACTAGATTATTGCAAAGCAATATACCAGAACTTATGTTTTGTTATACTAAAGTACAAAATAGAAAATAAATCATATTTAGATATATAAATTACTAATGTTAAAGATTAAATATATTAAAGAAATATTTTACATAATGTATATAATAGTCTAGTATGTACAGTATATATATGCATAAGGTGGTTGAGTTGAGATTGGATGCACTAATATAGTATATTTGATATAATCAATTAAATATTTAGCGAAAATAAAAAGTTTTAGTGTAATGTAAATGAAGTACAAAATAGATTATTAAAAGAAAATAGTTAGATGTTATAATCAATACGTATAATATAAAAGGCAAAAAATTAAATAAGTAAAGTTAGACTTTTGCTTTTATAATTCATATTTACCTTTAAATATTCACTTTAATAAAATACACATATCTATATGTGACTAAAATTTCAAAGTAAAAACTTATTATTGTTTAAACTTGATTACAAATACGAAGATGGTATTGGCGTTAAGATAAAAAGAAGACTTTTAAATATTATATAAAGTAGCTAAACATATTGTAAAATGTTTGAGCTATTCATTTTTAAAAATGCAATACAAAATAAAAACTATTATTAAATTATAAATTTTGATTTTTTAATATATAACATTAATTTGTTATATATTCTTTTATAGATTAGTAGAATATTTTGTTAAATGCAAGTTTTAAAGATTAGCAATATAAGTATATAAATTTAGAAAAAGGTGGTTTTAAAAATTTATATTTATGCAAAGATAATTATCCTTTTATGAAGTTTTCAACCCAATTTTTATGTTTCATCTTTTATTAATTGAGCAATAATACAGGTTTTGGCTATTAATTTCAGATATCCTTATCAAGAATATACTTACTCAAATAATAAAAATTAATTAGCAACTATTTAAGCATAGATAAATTTTTAATAGGGGTGTCTGAAATTGATAGCTAAAACCTGTAATTAGTGTCTTTAAAAGGCTAGTAAAAGCACAATTGCGCATAAATTATTTTAAAAACTTATAAATAATTAAACTAAATAACAAATGAAACCTACTAATGCCAAATTGCTATATTTATGTATTAATATGCTATATTAATATTATAAGCTATTATAATAACATTGATATTATAATATTATATATTAAAACTTTTAGACTACAAAAAATCATTAAAAAAGAGCCAAATTATATTGAGAAAGCTAATTTATTTTTTTTCTTTAAAATTTTCATCCTTCACTATGTCTAATCAACAAAAACAACATCGTACAGCTATTAGTGATGACTTTAAACATCAAATTTGTGAATACTCAGAAGCTGATAAAAATAAAAAACAGCATGAAATTGCTAGTTATTTTAATGAAAAGTATTCAAATTTATCAATTGACCGAACTACTGTATCAAAAATTTTAAAAGAAAGTGATAAGTGGATGGCTGTAACTACTTCAGAAGTTTCAAGTCAAATATTTAGGTAAATAGTATTTGATAATTTTTATAACTTATCTAATATACTTAAATATTATTAAATTTTAAAGACATAGAGAAGTTAAGTTTCCATTTTTTGATCGAGCAATGAATCTATGGGTAGAAAATATGATAGCAGGGGGTATTATTTTAACAGATTTGCTTATTAAAGAAAAGGCAAAAATGTTTGCTTCAGTATTTAATATACCAGAAAATGCATTAGTTTTTTCTAATGGTT